TACATACATACATACATACATACATACATACATACATACATACATACATACACACACACACACATACACATACAATGAGGAACAATTTTTACATTGACGCCGTTACAATGGGGCATAATTTTCCCCTCTCCTTTATACACGCATTGTTGAAATGGGCGATGCACGTCAAATTCTGTTACAACAACTGGCGTTTGAACGAACTGTTGATGACGTCACAGAGTCTAAGAAGGAACGCTGCGAAAGACCTCGCTGCTGAAAAAACAGGTCAGCCAAAGACCATTTTTCAATTTTGCAACGAGCAGACACGTTGGATCCGCCAGAGACGGAAGAGAGTCACTTGCTGCACTCAGAAGATCGGATTGTCGCCGTCATCCACGGGGTGACACATTCACCAGATGTACGTTTGAGTACTCTTTTGCGGCACAGAAACATACAAATGGACAATCGATCAGTCTTTTAACAAATCCATCTGTGCACCCAATTATAAAAAGCATTGTGCGACCAAAGCTTCCTGCGACAGAGCGCAGGTACAATAAAAAAAACCTGTCAAAACACACTGACTTTAGTCGGCTATCACGTGAGCAAATAAAAGTAAAATCAGGGACAAGCCACACCCAGCTGTGAAACGAAAATGGATGATGGGAATGTAGTTGTTGTGATGGTAATGCAACGCACCAGGTAGCACCGTTATGAACCTCACATGACTGGCGTCATCAGAACATGACTCTGTTTCTAATGCTCGGAGGTCATTTTTACGTTGGTTTGAAGATCGATTGGCATACCCACTCCAGACTCTGATGCATCCGTAGATGTCACTAAGGTCAGAAACATAAACGGATAATGAACTGGAAATACTTTCGCCATAAGGCAAAATTATTAAAGTAAAGTAAAACATTATCTGATCAGATAAAACCCTCTAAATCGGATTAAAATCAACCTGAACACTGAAACAACGGACGCGCTATTGATGATGGAGTCAAATATTCGTTGGAAAAATGCTTACTTTGAATGAACTATAGTCCCACTGCTCAATGACGTTTATAAACAAATCCTAACCTCGTTAAAAAGGAGGTTATCTTCGATATCGTATGAACACCCTGCTGGTGACAGGCAACCAAAAATTAGTACTGGTACAATTGGTACTGGTACTGGTACATGTGCCTGCAACAAGAAAAATGTATAAGTGTGATGCCGTGTTTTCGTCTACTCCGCGTCGAGGTTAACATGTCAGCAGGTGCATCGCTACGACTATGAATACTTATCCGGTCGACGACGGCAGTTGATAATTTTAAAATTCATACATCGTGCTTGAACTGTACGCTTTACGTAGCTAGTCGACAGGCTGGCAAATAACAAACATGGACATTGTTGTTCGACAACGACGTCGCGCTCGAGCTGCATAGAGGAAAGCGTCAAGGAACCACCGTTTGAGGTAAGAGGAGGAGGCAGTACCTGCATGATGAATAACAACTTGAAAGTCAACAGATTGGGGACTAACCGGTAGCATGGAGTGATAAATGCTGAGATAAAAAATTCTTATACGTGTCGAATGCACGGAGTCAAGTAGATTTAGAGCCTCTTGAAAAATTGAGGTCAACACTAGCGAGGCTCCTTTCGGCGCAGCTACGTCATTTCGGAAAAATCACAGAGACATGGCGGCCAGAAAAAATAAAAAACAACTAACGACTACCCAATCTGCGATTCGAGCGAGAACCGACCGAGTTGCTTAGGCGTTCAAGAGAAACGGTTGTTACACGCAAGCACGAAGCGTAGTGTACAAAGAAACGAAACAAACGCCAGATTTTTTATGAAGGCTCGAAGCTCGGTGTACAGAAAAACGATACTGCATGTCTTTTTACACACAAGGCAAATAATCGGTCACGTGGAATATTAACCAGCATTACCAGCCACGGACTGCCGTTGTCTAAATTGACATGAGGAGGAGTAAGAGGAAGTATGAGACATCATTGTCAATTTTTAGGAACCATAAACGTTGGAAACTCCGTTGCTAAGGATTTGGCTTTCTGAGCTTTGGATAATGATAATCAATCTCGAGGGGGTGGTGGCACAATTGCCTAATAGTTTGCTTTGAAATTTTCCAGGTTTCCGGTTCCAATCCCAAGCGGTACAAATTTTCTCCTATTAAAAGCAAAGTCTTTCGAGCAAGGAACTTGCTCGCAGTGCCTTAATGCAACCAGCAGCGACAGAACAGCAAGTCATTGATCGTTTAAAATTAAATACAGCGTGATGTTTTGGTGTGGTTATGCCAAAAGCAGGAGAGGCAAACGGCCATGTAGTCTTATGAGTATGCCTTAAGGTAGCAATCCGCCTTCACCGTTCTGACAGCTTACTAAAAATCACCACAATAAATAAATAAACAAAGAATAGCCATGTTAGCCCTGTTCTGTTAGCCTGGTTATGCCACAAATGCCTGTCTGATGCATTTATCATTACGACTCTCAACGCGAGGACAAAATATTCAATATTGATGTATGACAGTTAGCCTAGAGCTAAACCATCCATACCATAAATGAACATGCTAAAGATATGCTGAGATGAAGTGCTTTGGTAGGGGTAGATGGAGTCATTTAATGGTGATACCAGCAGTCACCTTATTAGTCAACTATGCAAACGATTGCGTGTTCTAGATACGTCATTGAGAACCATGGCGGAATATAAAAAATACGGCAAACGTCTCGTGAAAGAGAAGGGCGGCAAATGTCAGGGGAAGTACGCCAAATGTAAGGAGGCATGACCGGACAGGGATGAGAGGTGGCGTGGAAAGACGAGGTGGAACAAGGCGAGAATAAACGACGACGTACCCGTTCTGAAGCTTAAGTGCGGTGAACGGCCGGTGGGCATCAAGCGATTGGTCGATGGCTTCCTGGACCTTGACCGAATGGAAACTGAAGGTCGGGTCCTTGACCGGCGTGAACGTGCGGTACAGCCGTTTGACCTTCGTGATGCTGCCGAACGTGTTGTCATCGTTCCTGAAAGAAAAATACTGCGCCCATGTTCAGTTAAAGCTGTGGACTGCCATCGACATACTCACTTTTTACCGGGCCGGCGATAGACCAGGAATAGTATCAGAATAACGGTCAGTGAACAGGCGCTGACCGCGCCTGAAACCAAGTACCAGTAAGCTTCCATTAACCGGGTAACGATGTCGAATGACGACGGTTGCGGTGTAGCTCAGCTGGAGACCGGACGAGTAAGCTGCCTCAAAGTGCCTCAAACGTCTGGAGGGAAAATACCACGACGAAAAATAAGGTCAACGACTATGAACGATTGACGACCACCGCGCAACGAACTGCCATCATGCACAAAGAGCGCTGACGGATCGGCGGAGCGTCTGTTTATGTAAATACATCCGTCGACAGTT